CGCCCAAACCTGAGCTCAGGGTCTAGCAATATACAACACTCAATTCAATGTTCTAGACTAACAGTCGAGATTCTCCCCTTTGATTACTGTTTTAAGATAATTAGACTCCAGATCTTTAGTGAATGAGGAGAGAAAGTACAGATTACTTCTATTATTTTTTCTAAGGATTTCTAAACCCATAAGATATGCATTTCAACTGATGCCCCAAATAACTCTCTACAGTCCCTGCTGCCACAGAAAAACATACTGTGAGAACATTTTGCCTTTTAGAAGTTCCCTGATGAGCCAACCGTCTGAGACCCAGACAACATTTTTCTAAACAAATAATGAGACAAACTACAGTTAGGTTCTAAGGCAACTCACAAAGGACAATTTAACCACCCTGTTCCTAACATAAGACTGAGCACTCCAGGGCTGCCCACTAGCCAGCAGGGTCAATGAGTGCATGGGACATGCATGTTAGCAGGAAGGATGAATGGACCCTGCAGAGTGTGACCCTTTAATAGATTTGAAATCACTTGGCCAGTCCTGTAGCATAGTGGTTAAGTGCTGTGCAGAGGGAGCCAGATCCCACACGGCAATTGGAAGCCCAGTCCCAACAGCTTGAAAAACATATCAGGTGCATGTGTGTGTGTGCCCAAAATCCTAACAGGATGGGGAAATGGAAGAAAAGAGGACTGCAGTGTGATCACATCCTATTAAGGTATGCTCTCTCTCTCCCTCTTACAAGTATAAATACCCTCTGAGCCCCCCCCCAAAAGAAAGAAAGAAAGAGAATATTAATTAATTAATCGGAATTAAGTTAAAATAAATTACAGGCCACTGTACAAAAAAGAAAGATACAGAATAATTTTTCACAAAAATAACAACTGGAAACCACTTTTTAATCCTTCCTCTCAAGCTGCAAGGGAAGGTAATCTGCAGGGCAGTCCCTAAAGTGGTTCCATTAATCCCACCTCCTGGTGGGACCTGAAACTTGCTTCTAACCTAGAGAATGTGAATATGGCAAAGGTGGCAGGATGCCACATCATGATTGCGTTATGTTATAGAAGGCTCCATCTTACTAACAGATCCGCCTTGAAAGCTTGGTGAAGTGGCCATATTGGGAAGGCCCACGTGGCTGCCACTGAGGGCAATTTCCAGGTCAGTCAGCAAGAGGCCAGGGCCCTTGGCCCTACACCAGATGGAAATGGATTCAACCAGCAACTTGAGGGAGCTTGAAAATGGAATCTTCTCCAATTAAATCTCCAGATGAGAAGCAAGCCCTAGTCAACATCTTGTTTGCAGCCTTATAAGACCCTAACAGAACCCAGCTAGGTAAGCTGTGCTCTGACTCCCAACCCACAGAAAGTAGGAGAAAACAGAAAAAGATGACTAATACATGGTCCAAACATTCGCGTGCAATAAATGAATGGATTTGCATTCATTCTTTCTTTAAATTTCACAGAGCTAAAAAATCAGAGGCCTCTTTCTTTAATTGTCTATTACAAAAGTGGGATTAACCCTTACTTACATGACACTATATTTTCCTTGTTCAAATTGGACAATTAGAAAATTATTTCCTCCTTCTAGGAAAAAAATAATGGCATATATTAAATGGCTGTTATTTCATTTTTTAAATATTTGGTGTCAGGCCAGCTCTGTGGCACAGCAGTATGTGCTGCTCAAGAGAAGTGGAATCCCACATGGCCATCCCAGCTGAAATTCCCCAGCTACCCCACCTGAAACGTGCTGAGTAGGCATGCAGATGCTCAAGAGCTGATGGGCTGGAGAACTGAAAGAAGGGGACTATGGTCCCCTTGACCAGAGCCTATGGAGGGTGCTCCTCTCTCACACACATGTATGCACAAGTGCTCTATTGTGAAAAAAGCAAGTGGGTATCTGTGGGGACACATTTAGAGAGAGAACCTGAGGTGTGGGGACATGCTCTGAGCAAACACCACCTGTCCTTTTGGGGTTAGGCAGAACCTTGTCACTTGTCCTTTCTTTGACCTTCGCTGTAGACAGAGAGAAGGGTGGAAATTGCTAGGGGCGTACCAACAGACACATCTGATGGACTTCAAGAAACATCTTGACCCCAATTAGCAAAGTCCAATCCCTGCTCTGTGTCTGAAAGGTTCTTTAGCCTTCTCTGGGTGCGGTGGTGCACTCCTTATGGGGAAGTTCTTTAGCTTCTTCCCCACACCTACAGCTAGGTTTCTCTGCATTAGAAAAGAAGATGAGACTTTCTCTTGATGGGATTATCACCAAGGGATACACCTGGCCCAGTATGAACTAAGCCCTTAACTGCTTATTGTCTGTAACCTGGCAACCAATCTATGAAGTGTCATGAAACATACATGTGTAATGTCTCCTTGTACTATAAATAAAGAGGCCCAGTTTGTCTGGGTGGCTCAAGCAGCGGCTCAGTCACGGCAAAGTTGCTTGGGCTACCTAGGCTCAGGCTGCCTGTGCCCACCTTCTACTCTCTCTTTGTCTCATTCTTTCCAATTCCCGGGTCATCACAAGATGGAGGGCTTTCTCGTTCTCGTCCTTTCTCTTCCTCACCAGCAGCACCCCCTGATAATGATTCAACCAGACCCAAGCCCTGGGGCGGACGCCGATAGGCATCTACTCTGGGACACTATTCTAGGAGGAACCAGAGCTTTGGACATGGACAATGTATACTGTCCCTGCCCTCAGAGTGCTCACAGTCTGGAAAGAAAGAAGAAAGGAAGAAACTATAATATAACCATCTATTCAAGTAACAGATATTTACTGTGCACCTCTGTGCCCCATCCCCCACCTCCTTGTAGGTGAACAAGCAACAGGAAACAGACAGAAGCTCTCCATCTTTGTGGTGGGAGAAGACAGATCACGATAAACCAAAGAACACAAACAACATGACCTGGACAGAAAAGCCTCCAGGGATGCGCCATCTGTGTTACTACCTGGCGCTAGGTCACTATCTCTTCCCAAGAGGTGACATCATGGCAGTGCCCAGGAAGCTCTGAAGTCCATGATTCAGAAATGGTTCAAGGCCTGTGCCTGGGGCCAGCAAGGCTCACCCACACACACACACTTTGACACAGCATGGCCCGACTCCAAGAAATGGAATAGTCTGATTTAAGCTTTTCACTCAGATATCAATACTCAGCCCCAGTGTTAGGTAACAAAGGAAGATGCTCTAAAATAGTTTGTTCAGAGGACAGAAACACACTGACTGATGTAACAGGAGGAAGAATGAAGAATGAGCTCACTCTAATTTAGGTCATTTTACTACTAGCTAAGCATCTAAAACCAAGAGGAAAAAGAAAAGGATTCTCAAGGTTTATGCACACAATGGCTTCTGGCCTACGTGGAACTTCCTCCCACTTCCCGGCTGGCAAGGAACTAATTTTACAACTCTCTTTGGGAAAGTGCCCCTAGTAATTTAGCACCTTTGTTTCTGACATTTACTAGGTCTCAGACAGCCTAATAAACAAGGCGCTTACTTATAGCCTAATCCTCCCCACGAACACGGAACTGATGGGGAGGACCTCCTTCTTCCTCCTTAATTCTTATTTCAAGGCAGCCTGCCCAGAGTTGCTTCCATGTGGCAAAGGTCACCGGCTACATCCCCCACAATGTCCTTCTGATTAAGGACTCAGCGTGGGCTGCTGATCCTAATTATGTGTGCTTAATATAGCTACAGACTCAGAATTAAGAATAGGAATAGCATCAGATGAGTGTAAGAATGTGTGAGAGAGAAAAGTCAGGTAAGGTGCATTACACACACACACACACACACACATTTACACACACACACACAGACTCACCCTCTCTCTCAACTAATAAAACGCTATAGCTCTACTTTTTGTGATGAAGGAACCAGTGGCAATTATGATGTAGTTTTCATGCACAGTAAGCATTTTTTGTTTAGTAAAAAAATAACTACAGCAATAGTTTCTTACTATTTTTATAGCGGCACCCTTTTCCCCCCCAAACTACATCCTATGCCATGACCAAATCTAAAAATCAGTTAAAACTAGAGCTACTCTATTTACAGAGAGATGGCAGCACAGAGCTTCGCTGGTGACCTCGGACTTCTCTCTGTCCTGCCTGCTTGTGGGTCTTCCTTGGAACTCCAGAGCCCAAGGAACAGCCTGCTAGACACTGACCTACAGCAGACTGTAGTAGCACATAAATCCAGAAATGAGCTACGAGAATTTGCAAGTGAAATAGCGAGCCGTTAAAGTAAGAGGAGTAAGGCAACCAGTAATGAGATGAGGCATTCTAGAGCAGGAAGGAAACTGGAAACAGCCCTACGAGGCTCTGGGAGTCACAGGCAGGTGCATCACTGCTGCGGCCCTGCAAGCCAGCAGGGCCCAGCCACGACCACTGCCCAGAGCACTGCAATACAGACCCAGGAGTTCACATGATAAATGAGCTGAGGATTCTGCAGGTGGAGCCTTTCCCCACAGTGGGCCCTGGTGACCAGGTTTCATGGAACAAGGCCTTACTGGCCATAGGATATTAAGAGTTCTATTTGGGTCAGCCCCACGGCCCGATAGTTAAAGAAACTGGATCCCACATGGCCAACCACAGTTCAAATCCTAGCCGCAGTGGCTTGAAAAAACACACCAGGCACTGGGTGTGCATACCCCAAATCTCAACAGGATGGAAAAATGGAGGAAAAGAAATTGAGGCATGATCATGTCCCATCAAGGGGTACTTTCTCCTTCTCCCTCTCTGTCTCTTTCTAGAGATTGCCCACATGCATGCCCTCTGGAAAAATTTTTGAAAGATTTGTTTGAAGGAAGTCTAGGAACTTAAATACCTATAGAAAAGAGGTACACCTGGACTCTGCTGAGTCAATGGAGACTGAAGAGCTAGGTGAGTCTGGAAATATACAGCAGTTAGGAATTTAAAAAGACAATGACCCCGGGTTTCAGCTGTCTGTAAAGTCAACAGCAACTGTGGGTGTAAATGAATCATATATCACACAGAGACCATCCTGCTGCAGCAATGGCAGGCCGTACCTGGAATATGACGTGAGGACCCAACACCTTCTCACCCGAGGATCACCTGTATTTGGGAGCAGAGCTGTCTCAGGAGGGGTGCGATGGGGGCTTCAGGCTCCTGAAAAGCAAGGAAGAACATTAGACATGGCATATGCGGACTCCAGAACCTCTGAGTCTGATTCAGCTCAGCTCTGAAGCAGGAAGGATACCCTCCCTGACTGTAGCAACAACCAAGAGGAGTGAGCAGCAAGAGGAAGCAAGAGGGTATCACCGGGGGCTGATCAGCATGAGGGAGTCAGAGGAGCCCCCAAACCATAGTTTCCACCAATTTCCTTGTTTACATGGGTTCTCACATTGCAAAGAGGACATGAAAGTGTCACATACAGCTATTTGCATAAATCCGGTGCACGGAGGTAAACATGCAAAAGTTGAGGCTCTGGCTGGGGCCCACAAAGGGGACTGAATCCCTCTGGACACTGGTATTGAGGCGAGGTCAGCAGAGACCGAAACCTTAGCTGGTCTTTAGAAAACAGTTGGACTCTGATCCGTTCGTGTTACTGGCCATTTAGTGAGGGAGTTCTGCATATACTCTCCTGCCAGCAAGGACACATGCTGCTCACCTAGCAGTCTGAGGACTTGAGGACTCGCCAGAGACTACCCTACAGGTAGGACTTGGTGCCCAGGAGTGGCCTGCAGCCCTAGAAGGAATGGAATCAGTGCTGGACTATTCATAGGAGGTGCCTCTGAACACAGCCTGAAGGCATGCTGGGAAAAACCTCCCAGAAGCAAGCATATAAAGTCCTTTGTTTCTTAATCTTACAATTTACACTTGCACACTCAACCACTCACCCACGGGTTGGCGAGGTTTAATTAAGCAGCCTCAGTATGATCTGTACCTACTGTGAACCCAGAGGGGATTACCATTATGTCAGAAATGCTTTTAAAAAAATGCACTTAAAGGCCCAGCCACAGTGGCATGGAAGTACTACAACAATGCTAGAAGCCAGACGGAAAATCAAGTCTTAGCTGACTTATAACACCAGGCACTTGATCCTTACTAGATAGTAAGAGTGGGCAGAGGATCAGAGCTTGAGATCCTGTTGAGGGAGCTTGTCTTCCTCTTTCTCTCTCTCAGAAACAAACATTTTAAAAAAACACATGAAAGATACTAATCAACAACTAAAGTTTATTTATTTATTTTTTTTAAGGTTGTTGCCATAAGGCACATGAGCTAGCCAGGGAGACAGAAAGGGAAAGTGAGAACTCACTCCCCGGGGAGGATGGCCATGCTATAATCCCTTCTCCACTCCCCTCCTGGGATTTGGGGCATCAATGCACACATGCCTGGTGTGGTTTTCAAGGGGCTAGGTCTAGGACTTGAACTGTGGTCAACAATGTGGCAGTCTAGTGCCTTAACCAACATGCCACCTGCTGGGCACTAGAGTCTAGAACTTAACAGCAGCAGATTGCTAATCAGAATCTTACTCTATCCTGACGAACACCTTTTGTATATTCATTGTATATGGATATTTCATTCCTTTCCACTTTCTATTTTGAAAATATCCAAATCTATGAAAATGTTAACAAATGTTCATTCTTCATCTACATTTATATTTACAATATTTAATATTTTGCCTTATGTGCTTTATTTTTCTTTAGATAAGTGAGCTACAGGTATCATGACCATCTGACTTCTAAGTATTTGGGAAAATAAATCCTAAGGACGCTATCCTACATAACTGTAATGCCATTACTGCACCAAAAAACTGGACACTAACTCAACAGTATCTAAAGCCCAGCCCCCTGATTGTCAATCCATTGCTATCTTGTGAAGGTTTATCATGTGCCAGGGGAGCACTGGGAGAAACGAAGGTGAATATGGTTGAGTTCATAGTCCAACTCCGAGATAAATCCAGATGGCCAGGGAGAAATGGGTGTCAACGTGGGGACTCACATACCAGCTTCTCTTGATAGAACAGAAGCTGGAGACTTCAGGAATATCTTTTCTACAAGGTGATATTTACAGGACAAGTCTACTGTAGAGAAAAGAGGAGAAGGAAGGAAGTATTCAGAAAGCAGGAACTGAGTGCAGAAGTAAAAAGGCTTGAGTGTGACAGACATAAAAACAGGCACCAAAGATGTCCATGTCCCAGAGGGCCAGCAGGTGGCGCAGGGGTATGGGCGCTGGCAGGACTCTCATACAGCCAACTGTGGTTCGAGTCCCAACCTGGAAGCTTGCTTTCTCAATTTCTCTCTCTCTGGTAAGCATACATGCCCTAAAGTAAATTTTAAAAAATAATAATAATGATAAATTTAAAAATTTTTTAAAAGAAATGTCCATGTCCCTGGAAGCTGTAAAAACAGCAAAGTCTAGGGCCAGGGGGAACTTCTGGTTACAGAAGGAATAAAGATGCTGACCAGCTAACCTCAAAGAGGAGAGGATTTCCTGGATGCGCTCAGCGTGCACTAGGGTGCTGAAAGCATGGAAGGGGGAATAGAGGCGCTGGTGTCCAAAGGCTGTGGTGTGAAAGATCCCATCAGCCGTCCTCACTGACTCTGAATACATAAGGTGACCTATGGGCCAAAGAATGCAGGCGGCTTCTAGGAGCTGGGAAAGGAAACATCCTCTCCTTGAGCGTCTGGAAAAGAATGCAGTCAACACCTTGATGTAGAACCACCTGGGACTTCTGACCTCCAGAACTGTAAGATAATAAATCTGAATTATTTTAACTCACTTTGCAAAAAACATTAACAGTTTTGAAAAAAGACTAGAAACTATCAAAGCTCTGGGGGCTAGAGGAGAAGTCATCTGAGTCCTTGTCTAAGCTAAGATCACTTCAGGATGGGCCAAAGAAAAAGGCAGACCTTGGTGAGCTCTGTTCTTGAGAGGAGGGAGGGGCAGCTAAGAGCCATGGTTGGGATTTGTATTTTAAGAAAATAACTCTGGCTAAAGGGGCAGAATCTAGAAGGGAAACAACTCACAATGTTTGTTGAAATGATGAAATGTGGGGTTTCAAGGAAAAAAACAGAATTTTGAAAAATGTGTATCCATCATTAAGATCTTAAGAATTTCCTAAAACTCATGTTTTCTGATGGTACAGGAGTGAAATTAACAAATGTTGTTTTTATTTAATATTGTATGATAAAATATTCCAATACTTGGAAGGTCTACATAATTCAGTAAAACAAAAATCATGCATGGGTAAAAGGTTGCTTCAAAGTACAAAATACACCCATGTAGGGCCGGAAGATGGCGTGGTGGTTAAGAACTCTGGACTCCCACATGGCGAACCATGGTTCAAGTCCCAGACTTGGAGGCTTGCTTGCTCGCTCTCTCTCTGTCCTTCTCTGGCCAAATTAAATGAATAAATATAGTTAAATAAAATAATTCTCTAAAAAAAAAACACACACACACCCATGTATTTTAGTGTACAAAGAGCTCATTGACAGGATTTCAGATCCCACAGTGAAACCAACTAACACCTGTAGAGTTTGGGTATAATATCAAAAAAGAACATCCCAATTATCTGAAAGGGCTACCATGGCTTTCCTCCTTTTCTAAGTACATACCTGTGAGAGAATATTTCCTTTATATATGTAAACTAAAACAACCCATCAAAACTGACTGAATGCAGAAACCACTAGAAGAATCTAGCTGCCTTCAACTAAGCCAAACAGTAATGAGATTTGTAAATATGGGTCTTCTAAAAGTTCATAAAAAACACATATCATAAAAACCTATATCTGGATTTCTCACAATTTTTTGCACCAAAATATATGCATATTTTAATTTCATTTTCCCACAAACTTTTTGAAGTCCTCTGGTATAAAAAACAATGCCACTCTTATTGAATTTATTTTCAAAAAGTTAGTTTTTCATAAAATTGTTATCTATGAACTTAAAATGGGTTTATTATTATTTTAGATGGATCATACACAAGTATTTCAAGTAATGCAAAATTGAAATTTCTCTTTTGGATGGACTTATTTTCTTTCTTTTATATGCGAGAAAGAGAGCGCGCAAGAGAAAGAGACGCACGCGTGACTGAGTCTCCAATGCCACAATCCCCTACCCTGGCTCTTTAGCTAATCAAGATCTTGAGTGCATACCTGGTATGTTTCAGGTAGGCTCAGGGTCTAAACCCACAACTGGCCATGTGGCTCTCAGCACTGCAGATCAGTACACTACAGAATGCGCCACCATGACTTGGCCTAAATTCTAATTTCTAATGGATAAACACTGATAGATACAATCCATATAAACAAAAGCTCTCTGAAGTCTTCAACAGTCTTTAAGAATATAAGGGGTTTCTAGGGCCAAACAGTTTGAGAATCACTGCTTAAAGGGTTGCCCAATGAAATGAACACAGTCCAGCTTACTAGGTGCTCACCACTTGGAAAGCAGCTCTCCTGCTTCTTCAGGCATGAATTAATAAGCAGCCTACCATGGTGATCCTGCCTAGGCTAGTCACACTTTCATGTCATGGTATAAAAGCAGTCTATGCTAAACTTAAAAGTCTAAAGAAAGGCATGCCACAGGCCAACCCACGATGAACTCATCAGGATTAATGGCAGTGGAATGCAGAGCAAATTAATTCATTGGTACTGTTTTCTCTAATCCAAGAATGTTCCAACCGATTTACTCTAATTTTTCAGATTTGAAAAGCCCTTTGTTAAAAACAGAGTAATGAGAATGCTACACCTCATACCTAAAGAATTCCATTTCATTTACTTCCTAAGAACAGCAAGCAGCATTTCAATACTTTCCTTGACGGGCTTCCAGGAGCACACAGGGACTGTAAAAGCGACGGTGACACCACGCAGCTACAATATAATACAGTAATAGCGGATGCCTGGCACGTGGAGGGAAAATATGAACAGACAGCAACCTGCAAACATTGTCCACTGAGTGACTTACAAACTAAAGGAGTCAGTTTCCATTTGGTACATTGACAGGAACCATTAAAAATGTCTTTCAATTCATTTTATTAAACATAGTGCCCAACTTTCTGGCAAACCTACTTAGCTGTTTTGTCTGTGGATGAGTTATTACACTATTCTTCATTCAACAAATATGTACTGAGTGCCAGGTACAGGTCAAGGGGATAGGAGGTGGTA